TCCTAGTTACCCTGATAACATACTTCTCATTCTCCTAATCTTAGAAGTATCTTTAGGAATCAGAGTTGAATTGATTGACATAATGACAAATCATCAAAAATCAACGTGCACAGACTGCTCAAAAATAAGTTTATAACAGCACAGCACTAGAAACCGGAAAACTCTTTATCCCCAGAGGAAAGCCAGATTAAACAAAAAATATGATTTTTGCAGGTTATTTTATAATTAACAAATTCAGTAACATAGATAAAAGGATTTTCATTGACGTTGCAACATAGTTCCAATTTCCTTTACTTTGGATATGTTTCTATAACAAAGGGTAAAAACATATTTGAAACTGTAGGGTGTTTGAAATATTATAATAAAATGCACAGATTGATTAAAAAAGATTTTATAATGCCACAATCTTTTTAAAAAATTAAATAAAATATCTGGAACACATAGCAACATATATCTCTAATGACATGTTGACAGATTTCACGCTAAAAAAAGTAGTTAGATTATACGTTGCCTCTTTTTACAGTATATAATTTTCTTGCTTTCTTCTTGGGTTCAGGAATATATTATATAAACCAATACAGTGTTTAAATACATCCAAAAAGTTCAATCCGTGAAAAATTTGCATGCGGGTGTATTAACTTAAAAAAAAAGTTTTCCAAATCAAAGATAACTGATTCGTTTTTTTTTGTATTAAATTTTCATTGTTTCTCTGTTAAATGTCAATTAATATGTAGTAAAGATTTGCCCCACGTATCTTTAAAATATTTCATAAGTAAACAACGAATTTAGTAACGATGATAAATCGAAAGATATGTTTAGTACAAGGAAACAAGTAATATTTTCGTGAATATAATAGTTATTAACAAGAGTAGACTCTATAGGTATTTAGTTATAGAGATCTATTAAAATGTTTAAGTGTATTACACCTTTTCATTGTAAAAGTATTAATGCTATACAAATCGTAAGTGTTGAACATCAACATAAATTATGAGATATCTTCATCACAATATCTCTACAAAGGATAAGATGGAAAAATCATCAGAATTAAAAATTAGATTAATTTTATGATTAAATCTAATGCAAAATAAGATCTACGTGAAGTTAGATACTGAAATCCTGCAAAAGTTGCTGCGAGGTGACAAGATCTTCTAATGATTTATAAAAGTCATAAAAAAAAAAATTGAAGCTCAGACCAATAGAAATTTAAAAAAACTAATAGATAAAGTAAACATAAAATTTTCTGATGACTGACATAAATAATTTAAAGCAAAATTAAGATTCAGAGAAGTGATGAGTGTAAGTTATTGCAACAGACTGCTTGATTTTGTCTTTTGCAGTAGGCAATCAATATAGAACATCTTGTGACTTTTTACTTTTGCATGAATGTATCTGGAACTACGTTATACAATTTTCTGTCCTTAATGTTGATTGCTTTGTAGTTGAAAAAACTTTTATTTAATAAGTTTAATATTTGAAATGTTTCTGATAAATAATTAAAAAGAAGTAATATAACTCTAACTGTTGTGATTTCACAGATGAACACCCTAATAAGTTATTATTGACGTTTTCCAAATTTTGTATTGAATAAAATTGGTAGATTACGTCACAAAAAAGCCACTTTGCACTTCTGTCGTTAGAGGGAGACTGGGTACGGTTGTGTCAATTTTCATTTGAGACCCTATAACTTTGAAAGTATGACACTAAGTTAGATAAAAATTGCTGGGCGTGATAAATTAAAGACTCCTCTACATGAGTCTATGAAAGTTATGACTGCAGGTACAGCCGTCCACACGAGTGAACTGTTAAGAAAAAAAATATGTCACGACCAACCACACCCCAGAGGCGGTTGTGACAATGCCTGAGGACGGTTGTGACAGGTTAAAAAAATACATTAAAACCGTTTTAAATCGCATTTGTTGTATTTTTTGTTTAACATAATGTAACAGCACCTTCTTTCTGGAAAATTTAACATAAATTTTTAATTAAAGTCATCAAATTTGGAACATTTTATTGTTAATATCTACTTTTAAACAGTATAATTTATTATTATAGATGTTATATACCCTAAAGTAAATATCTGCACAACGTATGGTAGGTATTTTGAGTACTGTTGCTACTTCTTCTTGGAAAAGACTTAGTTGTAAGCAATGTTATCTATATACTGATGCTGCATCTGTTATTGCCGTTTGAATTGGCTAGATAGCGAATACGAACGTATCGCAATAATGTCATGTGATTTATTTGGTGCATTTCTGCATCTTTCCGTGTGGAAATCCCCTGCTTTGTATCATCGTATGTCTTTCAATATCACACGCACCTCTTTTCGTTCTCCTGAAACCTTCACAAGATATGTAAAAGGAAAACAGCTAATTTTACTTTTGTCACAACCGTACCTAGGCAGTATGTTACAACCGCACCCAGGTAGTATGTACAACCGTAACCACACACTCATTCGAAAAAAAAAATTATTATGCAAACAGAACTTAGCTTACATAAAAAGTAACCACTGCATTTTATGCACTAATGTGTATCTTATAAAAAGGATAAATACTCATTGCTGGATCTGTACGTATACAGAGATAATTGCAAAATACAATTCAATGAATATACTTACATTTCACTCTCCAATATTAATGTAGGCCTCTGCTGTCGTTGATATTACACGGCAGCTGATGCTATACTGTGAAGCACAAGTGGCCTAGCACTCCACTCCTACCCTCTCTTGTATTTGGCGATTCTCCCTTACAGTTTCGCCAGTATGACCAGTGTCACAATCGTACTCAGTCTCTCCCTACTGTAGACCCACGGGGAGAAAGGTTTTTTGTGCATTTCAAGCCTGAAGTACTTCTTTTTCCTGGAGACCACAGCGATTGATAAAGTGAAAAGCATGCTTATGGGGACAAAATTTCATTTTTCCTACCGGTAAGAAAAATAACATACGTTACTCGGGCACAAAGATACACCAACCTCACTCTTCGGGTGCTTGTAGTTGTACTTTGTGCCACAGTAACGTAATAATTTATTTTTGTAAGAAGATTTGTGCATGAAGTTATTTAGTTTAAAATTTATTTTTTTAACAAATAATTAGTATTACGAAATTTATCAGAAAACGTTTTTTTGTGTCCAGGTACTACATTTTTTTATATTGCACCATAACGTTGGTTATTGACTTGGACAGGGGGTGACGACTTACTAATGTATATACTGGCTGTAAGAAGGATATTTAAAGAGTTTAACTATTGTTGGTTGTCTAAAAAAATCTCATTTTATGTTGGAGACAGTTTTTCGTCAAGTAACTGCTACAAATTACACGGCTTTCTAATCCTAGCTAAATGTTAAAGAGATTGAGAACCTAACTTTCTAGTTAAACAGCTAACCAAATATCATAGTATTAAGGCGTTTTTAAGGTAGCAAAAGACATAACCTGACATTAGCATAAGACTTTCTTATGTAAAAGTTAGCTAGAATAGCGAGAATTGCGGAATAGTGTAAAAGTTGCGACAGGGGTTGTCAGCCCTTAAAAATCCAATTAACATCTAGTCAATGTATGCATGAATTTCAAAAAATTTTATTAAAGATATGGTTATATGATTGAAAATCTTAGTAGGCAATCTCAGTTATTCAATAGGACTTTAGAAGGTTGTCTAAGAATAACCGAGTAAGGCATTGTTACAAGGCAAACGTTTGGATATACTTCGGTATTCTGCTAAGTGACCATCCATATGTAGTTAAAACTGTGTATGTCAGCTGGGTACAGGAAAGATACTGCCTTCACCTGAGTCTCCAAGCCCACGTAAACTCTTATGAAGGAAAAATTATTTTGGTGGCCAACTGTGGCAAACTCGGGCCCCTATTCCCATAAAATTGCCTGTTCATATAACTAGTGGCACCAGCTCTCTTATCCAACATTTTCACAAAAATTACTTTACATTCTTTGAATTCTGAATAATTTTTTGACATCACTTGTTGTTTTATTTGTTGATTAGACTTTTTTGCATATTTTACATCATTTTTAAGTCACTGTATGGATCCTGTTTGGTTCCGTATTGTTATGTTACTATGCATTTACATGCTACCGTCATTGATATTTTAAAAAATCTCCCCAGATTTGTTGTGAATTAATTCACTTACACTGCATCAGAGATCGATATTTAACGTGGCTCCCAGATCATCGGACCACAGTCAGAAATACTCTAATGAGAAATTAATTTACTCAGGGTTACTTAGCCCCAGAGCTACAAAAACTTACAAACCTAAGCCACTGTGCTACTATGGCTGTTTTGTTATTTTTGGAACATGAAAGCAGACACTATATTATGTGTCTTTATTATTGGGTTTCACAATCCTGTGCGCTACATGTTAAAAGTTCCCAGTAAAATAATGAAAAATCTAGTAGCTCTATCTTTCTATAATCTATAATAACGATTTTTTTTAAATATTATAAGAAAGATTCTGCAATTTCAAATTTAATGATGCAATTTTATTTGCGTATACAATCTTACATAAGCTGTGAATGAATTTATTTTTATTTAATATCTTTAAGTCGTATTATTAGGGACTGTAAGGGAGGTGAGCGAAGCAATGGAGACCTGAGTGGTACTCTAGAGGGGGTACTCTAGAGATAAAGTCAAGGAGTATTCAACTTTATATTTAAAGGAAAAACACAGAAAAAATATCATTATTTCCTAAGGGGCTTAAGAGTGACGTATAGTAGTGAGAGAAGTGAATGAGCCTAGCTAAAGGTGGAATCCTGATAACTGTATAGTCCAAGAAAATACATTGTTTACGTATAAACTACAAAATGTCTTACTGATACCTCCATTCAAGTACTATTAACGCTACTTTTTATGTATATGCACCTCATTTTATTGCATGCGTAGAATTACAGTGCTTTTATAAAGATTTAGACTAGAGTATAAGTATTGGACTTTCATAATTTATGTTTCTAAAGACATTAAAATAGCGCTTTTCATGTATTTTATTTTATCTTAATTTTAAAGGGCCCACCACATGTGCAGAAATTAGGCAGCTCACCCACAACTTCTACCACAACATATGAGACCAGCTACCAACTCTTGCTTCAGCAACAGCAACTTCTTCTCCAGTGGCAGGTTGAGTTTAACAATAAGGTAATCCAATTAATAAGTTATAAATTAAATTTTTCAGTTTTATTTTGATTGTTACCTTGTAATAGTTAATTTCAATTTTCGGTTTTTTCTTGATAAGAAATCATTTTCTATCAGAATTTTTCAATGTATCGATAGTTTGTATGCTTAGTAATGATTTTCAGCAGAAAAGTTGGTGACAAAATACTTAAACTGTGATAAACAAGATGTTCAATTAACGGAAGTATGCATACAACTTTTTATTTTATTTCCTTTAGTATAAGTAGCTGGACTGTAAATATAGCCTTATATGAATTGATAGTAGACAATGTATGTGTATGCGTCGATGTATCGATAAATCGATTAGGGCATCATTACATTAAGTACCACGTGAATCAATTCGTTAAAAAAAGTCTGTAATATAATACGAAAAAAATGCTATATCTAGGAAAGAAAGCAAAGTAGACCAAAAATTACAATGTTTACAAGCTTTCTTAATAGAAAAATAACATCGAGGGGCAGAAAAAGAAGAATGTTAAGTTATGTAAAAACACAATATCAATTTTCAATTTTTTGATGTACCTTTATGGAATGAAGGAGAAAAATTTGGGAAAAAATTATACTACAGTAAATACAGATCTAGAATAATGCAGAATTGATTTTCGATTGTCGTCTGTGCATGTAATCTCCAACAACTAAAAAAATACACCATGTCTTAAAAAAGAAGCAAAATCGACAAAACACAATAATTTTTAAGCGTTATTTAAAGAAAAAAATAACATTTCTTAGCACTAATAGAGAAGTATTAAACTATGTTAAAACGTCTCCTTAACTTTCAGTATCTTGGATATAACTGTATGAAGTTAAGGTGAAAAATTATCAAAGAAATTATAGTATATTTGCAAAATTAAAACTAATGGGTAGAATAAATTTTTTGTTTTTCTGCCCCAATATGACTCTAAGAATTATTTAAAAACATACAATCACTAACGGAAAGATAGATAAATAAACTACAAATAACAATTTCCGTATGTACACATGTATGTACAATGTAAATAAGCAATTTTTTTCAAGGAACATTATGTCAGTGCACTTAGCACAGTACTTGACCTCTATAATCATAGCATAAGTACTATGCACTTTCTGAAACACACATCGCTATTCCCTAACTTTTTTAATCACAAACTCTCGTTCTCTCCGTTAACTCATACTTATTTCGGTTATTTTAAAAGTTCTCACTTCTGCGATACATTACATGTGATGCACCCCGTTTTCTTCAAGTGCATATTTATTACAACAAAAAAATCATTTGTGTGATTACTTTAAACAATAAACGAAGCACTAGAAGAGTTTTTTAACTGCAATCAAATAATGTAAGCGTATTTGAGGTAACATGTAATCAATAATCATGCTGTCAAGCTTGCGTTCATGATAGTTATCATTCTACCCTAAAAAAATCAGTTTCACGTGACTGTCGACAGAATACGTCATGATCTGATTGATCGTAAGTGACGAAAGGCGGTACATTTAAATGTACATATGAGATTAGGTAGACAAGTGCTGACCTCATCTAGCGCCTTAAAGGCTATTCGAAGTCATTTGATCGTTTGCGCTTAGATTTATTTTTAAAATTTAATTATTGTATTTACATTAAATAATTGATAGAAAAATGTTAAATCAAAAAAGTTTGGGGGGTTGGCGCGTTGAGCACGCAGGGCGACAAGCTCCCTAGTATCGTTCAAGACTCAATAATGCATGATCAATAGTGCATTGAGTCCTCAAAAGTCTAACAAGTCTGCAATTTTCTCTAACCATAAGCTCTGCTAACTGTCTTTTTTACCCCCTCCTTGTATACAGCAAAGAGTCTGTTAAAATTAGGATTGGAACTCTAGCAATACGCACCCTCGTTGAAAACGCAGAAAGCTGCGAGAGAAGGCTCTTATGACATGCGCTATTTAAATGTGCTAAAGAAGATACACATCTTACTATAACAAAGTTTTGTTAAATAATATAAATTAGCAGTGTGTGCGTATAATTTAAAAAGTATCGTCTTTTATAGATTATACGATTAAGAATATCTATTTAAAACCGGAAGTAGTAGGTATCCCTTTTCTAAAGGAATGGCAGCTCTTATTACGGGAGTGAGAAACGATTTAATAGAATACGTTTTTTGATCTCTAAATGTCTGCTTTAATTTAGTCAATCAATGCTCGAACACTTTTTAAGTTTTTAAAACATAATTAAATGTTCTTTAAGAAGGTTCTGGAAAAATATAAATAATGTAAAGTAACACTGAAAAAAAATTATGTCGTTTTCAAGAATATTGCATAAGAATTTCTTAAATATTTTCGTCAGACGTATGGGCTCTTATGAAGGTTATTAATTAAATTTTGTTAAATGCAACTTTTTTCAAGGTTGCTCTTAGATTTTTTTTTTATTTCTCTAATCTTTTTCAATAGGCCTTATGGTTGACTAGAAAACATTTTTGAACTGCTTTTAAAAACTTTAAATTTATTTAAATAGTAATTCCAATGCAATTCAATTAATAACAGCCATGAGAGCTTATGAAAATTGTGAAATTAAATAAATTTTTGTTTCAAAAACGTGTTCAGAAAAAAATATCGAAAATGTAAGCGGGCATGAAATGTTTGACAAAATAACGTAGGTAATTTTGTTTCTGTGTTACTCAACATTTCTTACTTCTTATAAAACCACCTTACTACACCCTCCTTACTTGACAAATGTATATTACACTCAAAGCACGTAAATATATATTTCAACACTTAAAAAATCGTAAAATAATAAATTTTGATTGTATAATTATTATGGGCCTACTAAGACAACTCTTGACACGGCTAAAAATCTGAGTTTTTCTCAGAGACCACACATATTACAAATATATTATGACAACAAAATCAGCGGTTTTATTTTAATAATGAAGATGTCGACAAGAAACAATGTCCAAAAGGTGATTAAGATTCAAATGTTTTGTTTTTACAGTGATATTAAAGTGTTTTAAGTTTAATGAAACAGGGAAGTTTAAATATAAAGTATAACAAGTTCATACATTAAAAAAAAATATAAAACAAAGATTTATAAATTGTAGAAACATTTATGTTTAATTTTCATATCAATCAATTATAACTGGTTGATTCAATGAGTCCACAAAAAAATGAGATCTCCATAAATAAACTAACTTTATTTTAAAGTGAAGGGTGAGGCGAGCTCAATGTGCTTGATATTTATCGAAAAAAAACCAATACTACAAAAATATAAATCGATTGCACTGGTATGTGAGACAGTAGTAATTTCTATATAGCAGAAACCATTATAATATCGAGAGCATTTAAAGACGTATAATATTTCTTATGCTACTGGTTCAAAAGTGTTTGACGAAATAAAAGACTTCAAAAGCAGTGGGATTAACAAAAAAATTCAAGTTTGTTGCAACATTCCAGAGTTCATACCCACCAAAAGTCATTTAATATTGGAAGGAATATCTTTGTCAAGATACTTGACCAAATAAATAATTTTACAAAATGAAATGGCATATTTATAAAGCAATGCGATCAACAAAAAAGAGTTAAGTTTTTATAAACTATCCGAAATCTGTACTACAATGATTGCAAAACTAAAATAAAGTAAATATTCTCATATTTTTAAAAACTTGTATTATTCGTTAAATACAGTATAAAGCCAATCCAGTGAACTATATGAATTTATTAATTTTACAAAATATTGACATGATTTTCTGTGTAACAAAATATTTATCTTAATTGAGTATTACAATAATTGTAATATATATAAGGATAATATTTGAGAACTTTACTTTTGTTTTATCTTATTGTGTTATAAAACTTTCATTTTATTTTGTAAAGTCTTCCATTCACGTGTATAATGTAGTTTCAACAAAAATGTTGTGTAAAAAGAAAGTTTATTTCTTCAAGGAGGTTTGGAAGTATCATTTAGAGAGTCGAGGAACGGGGACCCCCCCCCGGGCTCATGCAGATGTATCCCCTTTACCACGTACCTCCTCTTGCACTCTATAAACTTAAATCTGTACGACTGTAATTGGTTATATTTTTTTCAAATGCCTGGCAAATCTTGATTTTTGTTGTTGATCATCTTCTTTTTTTACTAAGGGTGCCTGTACATGAGAGACTTACACTTGCAGGTTCAAGTCAGATCGGTATGAGCCTGTGCGAGTGCAAGAGAGATGCAAGAATATATGTTCTCTCTCTCGCACTCGCACGGGCTTATGTTGATCTGACTTGAACCTGTAAGTGCAAGTCTTCCATGTACAGGCACCCTAAATGTTTTTTTTTTTAAATCTAATAAATTTAAATTGTACCGTAATTTTTAATGAAAAGACAACCTAACCTTATTCTTTCATAAGTGACCCTATTAAACTGACGATATTAAATAATTGTTTTCTCGAAAGTTTCCCTGATAAAAAATCTAAAAAAATTATGCGCACTTCTGATATGCTCGAGTATGAGGTATATTTTTTTTTTTTGGCAAGATTCCACATGTTGAACTCTTCTCTCAAACCTCCTTCATAAAACCGTACGATAAAATGATAGAAATTAATCTCGTTTAAGAGAGTAAAAGACATATTATTCATTATAAAATGCTCTAAAAATTTTACAAAAGCTTCTCAAGAACTTTACACAAAAAAGACGTGGAAGACAATAAAAGAAATTTTTTGATTGAATATATTAGTAACTTAAAATATAGTTTGTACGTCAGTTTGATACATTAACGTGGTTCAAATTTTTAAGCAGTTGAAGCACTTTGCATGAAGCCAGCAATGCTATTTAATACTGTTAACTACATTATACTTATATTTATAGACAGTGGATGTTTGCAAAAGCTTACATCAATCAAATAACTATAACTCTAATAATTCAGGTACTGTTTGATATGATGTACATCTAGTATTAGTTTAAAAACATAAAATAAGGTACTGCTATTTTTAATTTCATTGGTAAACGTAACTATTAAAATGCAGTAACATATGAATACATGTTATAATTGGATTGAGATAAAAGGCTCCCAATAAAACGTCTACG